GGGGGGCGGGGCATCGCCGGAAGGGGCGGGGCGTCAGGAAAAGGGGCGGGATGTCAGGAAAAGGGGGCGGGGCGTCGGGAAATGGAGATATAGTGTGACCAATGGGGGCGAGATATTGGGAAAAGAGGCGGGGCGTCAGGAAAAGGGGGGGGGGCGTTGGAAAAGGTGGCGTGGTGACGGGAAATGGGGCGGGGCGTTGGAATAACGGGGTGTGGTTTAACCAATGGGGGCGGGGAGTCGGGAAATGGAGGTGTAGTGTGACCAATGGGGGTGAGGTATCGGGAAGAGGGGCGGGGCGATGGAATAAGGCGGCGTGGTGTCACCAATGGGGATGGAGCGTCGGGAAATGGAGGTGTGGTGTAACCAATGGGGACGGGGTTACGGAGAAAGGGGCGGGGCGTTGGAATAAGGGGGCGTGGTGTCACCAATGGGGGCGGAGCGTCGGGAAATGGAGGTGTGTAACCAATGGAAAAAGGGGCGTCGGGAAGAGGGGCGTGGCTAAAGGAAAAGGGGCGGGGCATCTAAATGGGCGTGGCCTCAGTGAAAGGGGGCGGGGTGTCAGATGGGGGCGTTGCATCAGGGAATGAGGGGCGTGGTTTCAGCAGAGGTGGGTGTGACGTCAATATAAAAGGGGAGGGGCTTGGACACAACTTTGCCAATGGGAAGTGAGGGAACGTGAAGGGGGCGTGGTCTGGGGAATGAGGGGCGTGGTTTCAGCAGAGGTGGGCTTGGCGTCAACATACAGGGGGCGGGGCCTCGACACATCTACCAATCGGAAGCGAGGGAGCGCGAAGGGGGCGTGGCTTTGGGGGGGGGGGCGCCACCGTGATCGTGGGGTTGCTGAGTGGGCGTGGCCAAACGTATCCCCGCCCCTTATGTGGGCGGGGCCCGCGGCTTTCCTGCTCTCCTATAGGCTCCCCGCGGTGCCGGCCCGCCCCACACCTTGGCAGCGATCATGTAGGGCGGCACGATGTCGATGTTCATCTCCTGGAACAGCTCCCTGCACTGCATGGAGATGAAATCCCCGGCCAGCGGCGACTTCACGATCCCTGCGGGGTCGGCGCGTGAGCGACGGGGGAACTGCCCCACACCCCGCCCCATAGCCGCCCCACAGCCGCCCCACAGCCCGCCCCACAGCCCGCCCCATAGCGGCCCCATAGCCGCCCCACAGCCCGCCCCACGGCCGGCCCTCACCTTGCTGCAGGATGTACCCATCATGCACCGGGATGGCCGTGGTGTGCGTGGCTCCGCTGTCCAGCACCAACCCCGTGCTGCGCCCATTGGCGAAGCTGCGCTCCCCTCGTTAAGGGCCGCCATCACGAAGCCACGCCCCCACAACCCGCCCCACAACCTGCTCCCGCCCCACATCCATATGGGGCCGGATGGGATACGCGGTGAGGACGGCCGTTTTGCAGAGGAAGAAAGCCGGGATGTTGTAGTGCTCGAACATCAGCTCCGTCAGCTTCTCCCTCTTGGCCCTCGTGTTCCACTGTGGGGCAGCAGGTAAAACGTGTGGGGTTTTGGGGGGACCCCGCCACCCCACAACTTGTGGGGTGAGGTTGGGGGTCTGGGGGGGGGTTGTACCGGCGCTTCAGACATGAGGACGGGGTGCAGGCCGGGCTCTGACTTGACGTGTTTGCCGTAAGTGTGGTCCAGGATGGCCTGGAAGCACTCCCAGTCCTCGACTGTGGGGCGATGTGGGGCAGAATGGGGGTTGGGGGGGGGTGAATGTGGCCCCATAAGTGCGGCAGGCGACGCCGTTCCCATAGCGTCCCTATTCAGATGCCCCGCCTTTTTTCCCTTAAGCCACGCCCCCGCATACCCGAGACCACGCCCCCTTTCTGGCACCACTCCCTCACCGCAGACCCCCCCCCCCCCTTTGCTGACCCTCCGCCCCCTTTCCCTGAGGCCACGCCCCCTTCAGATGCCCCGCCCACTTTCAGGAAGCTCACGCCTTTTAGGGTGTTTCCATGGCCCCATAGGGTGACCCCAGCCCCACATTGACCCCATAAAATGACCCCAGCCCCACACTGACCCCCCAGCAATCCCCATACCGTGCCCATTCCACCCCATAGAGCCACCCCAGCCCCACACTGACCTCCTGGCACTCCCCATAACATCTCCATCCCACCCCATAGAACCACCCCAGCCCCACATTGACCCCCTGGGATGC